CTTCTCCATATAAAATTTTAAACATTTTGAATTGAAGAATTTTTCAAAATCCTTTTAAAAGTAATGAATCCGGGATCTCACAAAATGCAATGGTTCACAAATAACAAGTTATGACTTGTAATTTTACCCACAAAAACTTGAAGTGCATATATCTACAAATTGTCATAATTTTTAGGCATGTTTTAAAAATTTAATTCATACATGTGTCGCATATTTTATCAAAGTTTTATTGCTAAATAATTAATTAGAAAAAAAAATTTGGAAAATCTTTCCTTTAAACTAAGTCTGCAAGGAATCTAAAAGTGAAAAAGGCTACTCAATTTACTCTCAAAATTCCTTTTGCTGAAATTCAATAAATTTTAAAAATTTGAATCCAAGACACAGAAAAAAAGTTTTAAATAAAAATGCCAGATAACTCTGAAAGCCATTTAAATAATTAGGTACAATTAAATGCTTGAGAGACCGATTTCGAATAATATTTTGAAATATGTATCGGTCATACGCCTTGTCTTTGATCATCATAGACCAATTAAAGGACCTAGTTGAAGAGCGTCAAGGGGCATTTTCAAAACATTTAATTTATTTTTTGGGTTTTAATAATGGATGGTTAGACTCATATAAAAACTCTTTATCTTGCGTTAAATCCTTAAACAACTGGTTTTCCAGAGAATTTTTATTTTTGTTTTAACTGCACCAACTGTTTTTATACATTCTAAATATAAATTGCTTAAATTCTATGACATGTTACTAAATGAATTTATTTTCACTAATTCTTTTTTTTTAAAATTTTGCTGCTTTTCAGATAAAATCCTGCAATTTTTTTCATTTCTTTAAATGCTTTTTTAAAGCAAAAAACGAGATATTTGATTTTAATAGATGTGTCGCGCAACTTTAACAACGTTAAATTTGTGTCATAATTTTGTATCAAAGTTAAATGGTTTGAAATAATATTTAAATCAAATAATAAATATTTTTTTAACAATTTTTTAAAAATATATTGTTTGTTTATCGGTTTTAGATAGTCCTAGACTAAGATATCTTTTTGAATCACGTATTGAAGTGGATGGCTATCATAGACGATATTTGAAGAGCTTATTCGAAAAAGTTTCAAGTGGCCATTTGAAAACACTCATTTATTTTATTTCATTAAAAATACTCGCTTTATTTTTTGTTGACAACACTTACGTTGTTTTTTTTTCTGAATAATTTTTAAAAATATCTGATTTTTTCAGAGATTTCATAAACTACTTAAACTGTTTTTTTTTTATTTATTTATTTTTTTTTATTATTTTTTTTTATAGATATACATTTTTTGAAGATACGTTTCTTAAATTACTAAAGTGTCATTTAACGAATCTGTTTTCCATTTATCTTCACAGATTTTTTTAAATATGAAGTCTTTTAAAATTCCCTCGAGAATTAAAAAAAAATTTTTTTTGAGCGAAAGACCTAATGTTGATAAACATATTATCCTTAAGAAATTACCTTGCAAGTCGACCTATTTTAGAAAATAAAGATGTCAAACCTATTTAAATAAAACAGATGTATAGTTTGCGGCAAAGAACCATTAAAAAAGCTTTCAATTGTATTCAGAACACTTAAACATCTCTTAAAGTTCTGAGTGATTAAAATTAATTGTTGGTACTCAAGAACTCCTAGATCCAGTTCTACTAAAAAAAAAAGACTTTCATCGAAAAAATAGTTAGAAATTTTATCAATAGATGACGTTGTTGATCTACGCGATCTTATGCGTATTGTTTACTACCTCGGTATGCACATAGAGCAAGCAGATGTGCTAATTCATGATACACGGAGAAAAAAAGAGAAAAAAAATGGTAAGATTACCGTGCTGTATGGGAATAACAAAAAGAAAAAAGATAGGAGCTGGTAAGGAAAAAAAAACATAATTTTGGTATTAAAAACTAAAATATACGGTATTTAAACACTTCGTTTGATAATTTTTTTCCACATATGTTGTTACAATTAATAATAAATTAATAATAGGAATAAATTCTGGTTATAACGGTTACTTTGGTGTTTTAGATAAGGCATTTTTGTTAATTGTATACTCGATTAACGTATAAGTTCGTTAACTAACGTTAATTGTATCAAGATGGTCTATTTAAAGTTAATATTGTGTCATAAATACTATCATATGGGCTTAAATAAGAGCTTGAAAAGAAATATGCAGGATTGATTTCACGGACACAAATCCAAGGCAGTAACTTCCACCCATATACCTGTTTACTATATTTATGGTTAAGAATTTATTGATATGGATTTTAAATACAAGATTTTTTTTTCATCATAAAAGTAAATACTAATAAAACATTAACAATAAGTGCTTTAAAAATGCTAGTACAAAAATAATAATACAAAATATTACACAGAGAACAAAACACAAAAAAAAATTACCGTACTGTATGGTCGTAACAGTTTTGATGAAAACAATAGATAAATCTGCCAAATTGAAATATTCGATATTTGAACCATTCATTTGGTAATTTTTCCACTCATATCGTAACGGTTTAATAGAAATTTTGTTTTTTTAAAATTAAAAGTTCCGATTACCGCGCATTTAGTTAAAAATACAAAACTGAAAAATAAATTTAACCGAATAAATGTTTTGTTATGCCATGCTCTGAAGTATCATGAATCATGACACAAATACCAAATTTTATTACATTTACCAAACTTTACCTCATAATATAAAACCATATTTAAATGTTAATTTTACAAACTTATTCCTAAAGCATTTCCTTAAAAAAACCGAGCTTTTTTGTGTTCTCATAGATCCGAGAACACGGTAAATTTTAACGTATTGTTATTATTATTTAGTAGATTTTATTATATTTTTTTCTCAGTGTATTATTTATATTTATAACTCTGAATATTATTCATATTCATATCTAACTATTCTGCCTAAAATTACAGCATTCTCTTACATTGTTAATTGTTAAAAAAAAAATCATTCCCTGTAGGAAATAAATAATTTCTAATTTAAATTATTTTAATTTTATTTTAATTTTATTTTGTGAAACAGAAATGACTTCTGAGTTAAAATCGGATTGTAAGCATATAAAATCTACCCTGATGAAAAACATTCACTAAGTAGAATAAATTAAATCACCTATAATAAGTGTGTATAGGGTTTACCAATGTAATAGCTGTCCACGTATATCTATAAGGTCTAATAGGTGTTTACCCATAGAGATGTCTAAGCTGATGTCTCTTCCACTGGAAATCCAGCAATAGTGAATCAGTGATAGCGGCCAATAGGATCGTTTCTATTGAGAAGAGGATACGTATCGTCCAATAGGAATAGTGCAAACAAATAGTTGTCATTCTCAACCACAAAATTACGACTATTGATGGATTTAGTCCGCTCAAAGATTTAGTTCAACCTCTTGCTGAGACATCCCTATTTTATGCAGATGAATTAAATTAAATTAACATGAGCATCTGACCTTTGAAGACAAAAAAAAAGCAGGAAAAGTAGTTTTGAACCAATAGAGCAAATATTGTTTACATGTTAATCAAATTAAAAAAAATAATAGAAGCAAATAAATATTTCAGACAACATTTCAACAACACGCTTTAGATGTTAGACTTTTTAAAACAACAACACAATGCATTATAACATATTGATTTTTTTTTGTTACTCAAAATATTTTTCGCTGAAATTTAATTATTTCTGTCTTCTGTAAATTTATTTCTCTCTTATATTTCAAATCTAAAGTAAACATCAAATATTTACGATACTTTCAATATTTTTTATGTCAAAATAAAAAAAATAAAGATAAATTTCTCCGGTATGATGTAATTCAAAACTAGCGATTTTTAAAATAAAATTGATTTTTACATTGATGAAAAAGTATAAATTAGTGAACGTTATATTGGTCTAAGTAATTATTTCTTCCTTTTTCAGAAATAAACGCTGACTTTTAAGGAATTTCAAAACAAAAATGCTTTAACATAATCTTCTTGGGTCTATGTTAGTTTATGCTATTAAATGGAATGCTTTATTAATTTGGCACAAAGTGTGACAACTAAAGTAGAACTAAAATCCTTTCTTATTTTAATTTAAACTAATTGTTTGTAAAGTACTGTTGTAAAATACTTTTTGTAAGATACTTACGGTTTGTAAAGTAAAGAAAACCAAAAGGAGGTTGAATTGTCCTGTTTCTTCCGTTTCATTCGGGATAATAGATATTTGCCATCATCACTTTTTAAAATTTGTTCAAAGTTTGTTAATATAGGACACTTTTAAATGAGAAAACTTATAAAAACAATGTAATTGTTATAACCACTAAGCCGAAACAATGTGGTGCAGTCTAAGGGCAAAATTAACAGACACTCAAACAACTTTTTCATTTGAAATAGTGGAACACGCTGCAAAGGCAGTGTTTATAGTTTTTGTAGTCAGCAGCGTCATCTTTTTACTTACTTTGTTACTATATTTTATTTCATAAGAAAAAACTTGTTTTTTAAGCAGTATCAAGAAAAACGTACATTTCTATCGTCTACTGTTTTTAAAGTAATTTTTCACATCGTTTCCATGTTTGGAAAAATCTGGTGTATTCCACATTCGGTTGGAAAATTATCTTACATAAAAATTAATTGTTTCGACATATCTTTTATTAATCCTTCCCTAAATACAAGAGCGTTATTAATAACTACAGATAATTATGTAGTAATTAACAAAAATAGTTATACGTAATTCATATTTGTACTACAATAAATATACATGTATAATCATAACTTTCATACAAATAATAATATTATACTCAAATCGCCCATTATCATTTAAATATCAATCAGTTTGTTTCACGTATAAAAATTATGTTTTCTTAACGATTTTCATTGATGAAATAGTCAAATCTGAGATTCTTTAAAATAAATCTCATGCATAGAATACCTTTATGTATTTAGTATATTTTGCATTAAGTATCACGCATTTCTGATGCATTATAGAACTCTTCTTCTTGCCTTCCCTATAGGATACGTGATACATTATAAAAATGATATGGGTGATACAGCAGATGAGTCTCACATTCCTCCACAACGCAACAATGCAATTGTGAAAAACTTAAAATGTGGAACAAAATATCATTTTACAATAACGGCATTCAATACAGCTGGTAGAGGAGAACCAAGTGAAGAGGTCATCGCGAAAACAAATGGTGGAGGTAGGTTTCATTTTCCTACTGTGCTATTACATTGTTATTTAAATGTTAATTAATATATTATAATATGAATTAATATTATTAATTTAATATTATTAATTTAATATTAATACAATTATAATTCATTCACATAAGATATGACGTTAATTCAGATATGACGTTAAAAAATGATGATTTTCTATACACCGAAGAGCCATTACATTATGACTACCCTGCTAATAACATGTAGGACCACCTTTAGCCCTCAAAACTGCTAGCACCCGTTGTGGCATTCATTCCACTAGGTGCTGATAGGTAGTCTGAGGTATCTGGTGCCAAGCGCTCACCAACTGGTCCTGCAATTCCCTCACAATGCGAGGGGGCAGCGTGGCAGCATAAATTTGGTTTTCCAAGTAGGACCACAAATTGATTGGATTGAGGTCAGGTGAATTTGGGGGCCAAGACATGACTTGAAAGTCACTAGAATGTTCTTCGACGATTCGACTCTTATGACNGGATCTGGTACAAAAAATATATTTTAATGCGTTTTCTCTTCCTCTATGTAACAGATATCTTGCAGATATTTTCATGGAGAAAAAATTCGGGTAAAATTACCGTAATATATATTAATGACATTTCTGGGTAAAAGAAAGAAAAAAAACATAATTCTGGATAATAAAACAAAATATGTATTTAGACCATTCATTTGATAGTTATTCCGTTCATAGGGTAAAGGTTTACCTGAAATTCAGGTTTCAAAAATTTATAGTTCTTACTACACATTTGGTAAAAATTACAAAACTGAGTAGTAAATTTAACCGAACAAATGGTTTTTATACCACGCTCTAAGGTATGATAAAATTACCAAATTCTATAGTATTTACCATATTTTATCAAATACTATATAACATATTTTATATATAATTTTACCAAAATCATTACAAAAATATTTCAGTAAAAATTATCGAACCATTGTTGTTTCCATAGAGTCCACCATTTTGGAGTTTTTAATGTGCATAAAAATATTCCTTAAATAAATAATTGTTAAATATGATAGTTAACATTTTATATTTTTGAAAAACATATAAAATTATATGAATGCTAACACTAACAAAAACAGACATTTACATTTTATAATACACTTAATTCAAATGCACTAAACAAAATTAGTGCATGTATATAATTCTTGTTATACTGCAACATTTAAAAACTTACATTTCATTGACATTCAGTGACAAAACTTGCAACGCGAGCGTGAGCTCCAGACCAATGAGGCCACACACCTGCTTTTCAAGAGAATGTGGGAGGCAAATTTTCAAATTATTCATAATTATCATTTAAATGACTTTCAAAACTGCTACTATAAATGTTCTGTGCAATGGCGCGTCACGCTAGTTTACAGGTATCTGCGTACCTAGTTTTAACCTAAAGTATCGCTAAAATTAACCATTTTTAAGCATGATGACTGGAAAATATTATAAATAAAATAAAATAAAATAAATAATAAATGTATAATATAAATAATAAATAGATAATATAAATAATGAAAAGATAATATAAATAATAAAAAGATAAATATTAATATATAATAAATAATAATAAAAATAATACCATAATATATATTATTGCATAATATATATTATTACATAATATATATTATTACATAATATATGTTAATATGTTTAGATTTAATATTTTTTTAAAATAGGTAATAATAAATATAGTCTTAAAAAAATATTGTCCTGATTTAATATTTATTTTTACAACTGCGGCTGTTCATGAGATAGAGCGTTCGCCTCCTAACGAGATATACAGGTTCGAATCCTTACAGTGGATGTTCGATACGAATTCTGTTGCTGGCTTGCTCCAGCCACAGTGTTGATGTAAAATATCATCTGGGGTCGTCGGACTATGGATTAGAATATCTTTGCTGTCAGGCTAACCGTGACAAGTTTACGTGTTTTTCCTTTCCATGTTACGTAATGAAGGTTAGTTCCATCAGAAAGTCCTCCGTGAAGGCCAGTTTGCCCCAGTGCTTGTTCCAGGAGTTCCCATGTCCTCTGGGTTAAGTTCAGGATTACAAGGCAACGGAGTTGAACATTGATCGTTGAGAACTCAGATTTCGGTTTGCTGTTCAACGAAAAATATAAAAAAGGAGATATTTAATTTTTTGTCAAATAAAATAAAATATCTTCCTCAGTTTTCAACAATTTTTACATAGTTTTGTGGCTCATTGTCAAGATATTACTGTTCAACGTTGAGCCGTTCTGAATGTGCATGAAAATCAATTTCAAATATAACCGCAGCTTCACAAAATTATATGGCTCTGTATCATATATATTAGTTGGATTAAGCAATCTGTTTTAACAGATAATATACTAAAGTTTTATGAAATATCCTGAAATCAAAATCCGAAAAAGGCCTTGAATTTCTTTTTTCATTTTTATGTGGAGGCGTGTAATATTATATGGACTTATAGTCGAGAAAAGTTTCTTTTCAAACAGTGTCTTTCTTGTATAGAAAAGAAATCTGATATTGAAACAAAAAAATGGTTATAAAAGAATCTAGAAGATCTTTCAGTAGAGTACCTGAGGTGAGATTTGTCGGCAAAAAAATAAGACGCTAAGTAATTACTCTGCGACCTTGTTTTGCTAACAAATAGCTTTTTTTTTGTAATATGAAACTCACTTTATAGAAAGTTGGTCTAGAAAATAAAGATGGAGCCAATAAACAAAAAATATTACTCTTATCTTAGATTTTCCTTTTCTTGTGCTGTTTGCGATTTATTTCACTCCGAAGGCGTAAGAAAATATCTGGTAGGTCATATCTGTTTGCTCCAGACTATATTTTATACGTCGCTAGAAAAAAATAGAGCAGTAAGTTCCTATATTTTGTCAATATTTGATACTTTGACTGGCACTCAGAATTTTTATTTATCCTTGCTATATGTATATTTATGTCGAATTCAATAAAAAATAATATAGAGTATGATTGTTTGATTTTGATTTATTATTTTGATGGTGATGATTCATTTTCTACCCAAGTTATGATATTTGTTTAAAAAAAACTTAACACTTAATCATTTTCTACAAAAATATTTTTTTTAAAAAGCGAAAAAATCTTACGTTATTTTCAACTAAAAAGATTTTTTTTTAAATATATCATGTTAAATAATTTTTTACACACAGTGATTCACTTAAAATTAATTAATTAAATAATTTTTAACTTAATAATTTTCTAAATTACAAATAAATCTTTAAAAACTGTCGTATGCTCCTTTAACCAAAATAATACGGTCGTATAATCTGGCTCTTGAATATCTGGTAGTAGGAAATCCAACTCTTTAAAATCCAGCTAGGTGAAAACTGCTGGCATTACTTTGAAATGCATTTACAAGGCCAATTAGCCTAACAAATAAAGTTGCCCGTTTATAAAGAGCCATATTATCCAATTTGATTCAACATATAGATCAGTAGACTGCTAAAAAAGTTTAAAATATATTGAGCCATAATATCATCTTTGCTTCAACCTCAACACCGGATGAAAAGTATCATATTATCTTAAGCATTGCTAAGGTTCAATTTAGAAGCATGGTACAACTTAATATATTAAGTTACAGATCAAATATGTATTTTGTTTAAGTGAAAAGATATTGGTTTCACTAATAATATAACTAATATGCCATACTCTTCTGAGCTTCGTTGCTTTAAAAGTTTAAATTCAACTTTAAAAAAAATTAATTTTTTTAATCTAGTTTTAGTTTGATAATAAAACATAACAGTACAGTAAAGAAATTTCGTAAATTTCGTAGCGGCTATGTATCGTTATAACTTTTGACACGATTTTTTTAATACATCACACTTAGATTATATGTTTCTTGAAATGTTTGGGTTAAAAAAAGCAAATGCACTTGGAAAAAAATAATAGACAGAGACAATAATTTTTACAGTGTGTTAAATCTTTACATTCAGATTTAAAAACTAAGTATGGTAACAAATTATATCATGTTTTTATGATAATTAATCATTCTTTTTTTCTTTACTTAATACTATGACATCATTTGAAACTGGGTACAGTAAAAACTACTTATTCAAGCTGTAAAAAATGTGGAAGACATTTATGTTTAAATGAACCGATTTTATGTATAGAGAGAGATAGTACAATCAGTATTGAAAAAAGTGCAAACCATCAAAGCAATCCTCAATCGAGTAGTGAGTTTTTCATCTGGTTTTACCATGCTGTTTTAGTGATTTCCTTTATGTAAAAAGTGATCAGTCTATTTAAATTTTATACTAAGAGTGATTTCAATAACTATATAAATAAACTATAAGAAAATTAAAGAACACACAGCTATCGATCTATCTATATCTATATCTATCAATCTATCTATCTATCTATCTATAAATAGCTAGATAGATAAAATGATAAAAAGGAATAGCTCAAATGTCAATCATGTCACTAAAACTGTATAATTGACAAATGTTCTCTACGAATTACCAATCCAATATACGTTGTTGGTGCATCTTCATGTTTCTGGCTTCACTTTTTGAAGATATCTGTAGTCCTTTGAATCTATCTAAACCCATCACAATCTTTTGAGATCAAGTATAATAATAAGATTTAAAACTGATTTGAAAGGAGATGGAGAGAATTTGAAACATTTTGTAAACAAATTGGCAGATGTTTTTATAAGATCTAAACTATATATTTATATTAAGATCTAAACTATATATTATATTTATATCTATATATTACTTTGTTATAAAATTTTTGCATTTTCGATTGCAATATTTTTGCGAATATTTTTAATTACCATTAAATGTTTTCAAGCTTTAATTTTGAATTACTAACTTCCTTACACTCACGCTTAACAATTTATTAATGTTATGACCAAAAGCATTTAATTTCTCTCCGTTATGTTTATAATATTTTACTTCAAATAAAACAGCTATACGTCAATAATTTATTAAAGAAAGTCTCCTTCCTAGGAAAACTTTTCCATCAAAACTTCGTAATATTTATAA